AGTTCATTTTAAACCTTAGGTATCGCATTTCTTTGGATATACAGATATATACAGACATATTTTCCCTTATTGTCAATGATGGCTTGTCTATGTTCCGGTTTATCATGGTATGAAAAAATAAATCAGCCACCTTCACCTTCTGAGCTTAGTTTCCTATTTAGCGCAGATCTAACATTTAACTGGTTAGCCAAGACAAACTCTCATCCCTCTTTAATTTTCAGATTTGTTTTTAAATTTTCGCATTTAATCATCAACAGATTTCATGCAACAGACAACATCTGTGGGCAAAATAAATGAAAAACCTGTAGGTAAAAAAGTCCCAAAAAGCAATGCATTTCAAAATTTGCAGGATTAGCGGAACTAGTTGTATTAGTTCTCAAAGTGACTACTTGGTAAAAAAAAAAACGGAATGTACGATGCATTAGAAGGAGCGTGATAAAGTAGCTCTGAGCAATCTATTATTTTGGTGATTTTGATTAGTATATCTATATTAATTATGTATTTATTTATGCCATATATATATATATATATATATATATATATATATATATATATATATATATATGTTTATAGCATTTACATTATGAACATAACTACTGGTAATTACTGTAGTGGTTTTATAACTCAAAAATAATACTTTTCCCATCTGCGAACACTCGGCCTTAACGGACCATCCCTCCAAGGTATTAGTCCATTGACGAGAGGTTTATCTATCTATCTATCTATCTATCTATCTATCTATGTGTGTGTGTATAGATAGATAGATAAAATTTTGTGTGAAAATACTAAAAAAAACTGTAAATCGTTTAATAAACCTTGTTTCTTATGTTTACATTAAAAATTAGAAATTATCAAATTTGCTGACAAAAAATCCCCATTAAACCAACGTAGTGAATTAACTGTAAATTGCCGCCATTTTATTTTTTATAATATAAAATTTTTAAAATTAAAATTGTTTCTTATAGGCATAATTTACGGGTAAAACCCCTCTATTCAGTTTTATTAAATTGGTCCAAAATTATTATATAAAAACATTTTTAATTTTATCTGAGGCCCCTAAAAGCTCGAATTTTTTTTTCTGGTAATAAACCTTTTCAACGTCCTTTCATAACATTGAACATGTTTATTTATCTAAAACACGATTTTATCGAAATTTTTCCGTTATTGTCAATGGCTTGTCTATGTTTCGGTTTATCAAAAAAAATAAATCAGCCACCTTCACCTTCATTAAACCAATCGTTTAGCCAAGACATACCCAGAAGTCTATTTTTAATTCTCAGCTTATGTCCCTCTTTAATTTTCGCACTTTGTTTTTAATTTTAAAATCATTTAATTTACTTATCCTTTCCTGAAAATATAGTTTGAAACATTTTTTTTCCAAAATTTTATTATAATCTTATAATAAAAATAATAAAAATATTCTATATATAAATATATAAATGCAATTTTTTTTTTATTCCATCTATTCATTTGTTTATATTATATATATATATATATATATATATATATATATGTATAATTTTGGACTGTCCAGTTATTGTACTAGTATTTGTCGAAGGATATAGATGTTCCATGAATAATGTAAATTTTAATTTTAGACAGATACTGAAAGGCCGAAACGTTGTCATTATGGCGACAAAGATGAGGACAATAGACCGAATAAATCTAGTTTTTTCTCAGAAATATAGACAGATACTGAAGGGCCGGAATGTTGTAATAAATATAGCCAAAGATGAGGACCCGAATAATGTAAATAGTGTACATAATACCTTTCAGAAATATAGACAGATACTGAAAGGCTTTCATAAATATGGCATTGACATTGACAATAGTCCGAATAATTTATCTACAATCTCACAGATACTTTAATAAATATGGCGACAAAGATGAGGACAATAGTCCGAATAATTTAAATATTTTCCTCAGTTATTGTCAAATATGATGGACAATAGTCCGAATTTAAATAATGTTTACCTCATCTCAGAAATTTATCATGGCATAACAATGTCTAAAAGTAAAAAAATTAATCACCATTTGTATCCCCCGTCACCTTCTTAGTAAATGTATTATTACGCTATCAATTTTTTTAATTATAAACATTATTACTTTATTAGATTTGTTATATACATATATATATATATATATATATATATATATATATATATATATATATATATATATATTCATCAGAATCTAACTTTATATGTATAAGTCTAAAATTCTTCTGGGCGTGCAGATCTGGTTTGATATTTAATTTCTTGACAAAAGTGTAATCAAGACATATAGTTCACACAAGTCTATTTTTTCAATTATCTCACCTTATGTTGTTGTTTTTTTTTTTTTGGGGGGGTATGAGCCCCGCGGCTTCTTTAATTTTCGAAAATTTTGAAATGGGACTTCTATTCATAGTTTCTTCTCTCGCACTTCTCACTTGGAACTCTCTTAGAAGTAATACAGACAAAATAATAACAATCAAAGCAGAACATAAAATCCAACCAGACATTGAACTGGAAAATAACAGAACTGAAAAAATTATACGGAGATAAACCTGTTACAATTTTATGGGACTACACAATACACAGAGACAGAACAATCCTCTACCACCAGACATTGATTAGAGACCTCCACAAAAAAGCTGATATCCCCCTGCAGATTGCAATGTTTCTTTGAAGATCTTCAAAAAGTTGTCAAAATACAAGAAATCTCAAAAATGTGGCACATGGGAACATCAATAATCCCTCTAATTAAAGGGATTCCTGGAAGTCCATGCCTTAAAGAAATGCAAAAAAATGTTCTCACAAGTACAGGCCACAACTTACGAAGGGCTTTATCTATGTAAAATATGTTTGTGGGTTTTTATTTTATTTTATTTTATTTTTAATTGGTCAGTGGAAAATGTCATGATGTCATTTCTAACCTTAGGTCTCTGAGCGGGACTCGGAAAGAAATGAGTATACACCAGAAATCAAATGAAATATAATAATAATAATAATAATAATAATAATAATAATAATAATAGTCGAGAAATCCAGGAAGTGTATGCTTATTGACATAGCAGAATCGTTTGAGAGAAACGCCTCCATAAAAATTATCAAGAAATTGTCCAAAATACAAGGACCTGGAGATCGAGATTAACAGGATGTGGGGAATGAAGACTGAAACTGTACCAATAGTAATCAGAGCACTGGGTGTCGTGAGAAAAAGGAATGGAGAATATTACGCAGTGTCTCAGGTAACATCTACATACAAGTTGCCCAGAAGATCGCCCTACTAGAAACATCCCATATATTAAGAAAAGTGCTATCAATTAAATGACAATTTTCTCATAGGGATTAAGGACCATAGTTTAGACCCGCCTCTACAGGATACAAAGCAGGAAATATAACATATACAAATAATAATAATAATAATAATAATAATAATGGAGATCCCGATTAACAGGATGTGGGGAATGAAGACTCAGACTATACCAATAGTAATCGGAGTTCTGGGCCTCGTGAGAAAAAGAAGAAACAATTTTACTAACAGTGCCTCAGATAACATCAACAAACAAGTTGGCCACTAAATCGCCCTACTTGGAACATTCCATATATTAAGAAAAGTGCTGACAGTTAAATGAGAATTATTTCATAGGGACTAAGGACCATAGTTTATATCCAGCTCTACAGGATACAAAGCAGGAAGCATAACATACCCAATTAATGATGATGATAATAATGATAAAAGTGTGAAGTAACTGGTTATCACTTCTCACGTAACAGCATTTTTTGTGCATCCGACTAAAAAGAAACATGAAAAAGAAAATACACAAGATATATACACAATTTTTTTTCTATATGCAAATCACATTCAATTCTAACAAACGTTCCTTCTGTTTATATAAGGAAGGTTATCAAGACTTAATTAAAAATAATTTCAAAGACTTTTAAATGATTATTATAGGATGATCTGCACTGAATTGTGAACATGTCCCGTCATTAGGACGACGCACAATTCCGTTTACTTTTCTAATGGCCGCCGGGACATTTAGAAAAAGTGTCCCTACTTAAGCAGTCATCTGCTTACTGACATGAAAATAATAAATTATAGACCAAGTTTTAAAGATAGAAAGGCGCCATCCTTATGGGCAGATTTCAGCAAAGGACAAAAAGAAAACGTCATTTCTGAAAGAGCAGAAAAATAGTTTTTTCCAACACTGTTGAAGATTTGCTTGATCAATCCACAGCAATTTGAAATACACAGGATATCTTTCAGTTGGTTGATTGGTTGATTTTGTTTAGCTGCATATCAAGACATCTATGGGTCATTTAATTCTTAAATCTAAACAGTATGAACGCAACTGAATGAATTCAACGACTGATAAAATGTATTGTTGGTAATTTTACTATAAAAATATGCTATTGGTCATTTTACGATAAAAATGTCTTGCTGGTAATTTACTATAAAATGTATTATTGGTCTTTTTACTATAAAAAATCTATTATGGGTATTTTTACGATAAAATTGTATTGCTGGTAATTTACTATAAAAATGTATTATTGGTCAATTTACTATAAAAATATATTGCAGGTCATTTTACTATAAAATGTGTTATTGGTCATATTACTATAAGAATGTATTATTGGTTAATTTACTTTAAAAATGTATAGCTGGTAATTTACTATAAAATTTATTACTGGTCTTTTTGCTATAAATATGTATTGCTGATCACTTCACTATAAAAATGTATTATTGGTCATTTTGCTATAAAAATGTATTGCTGGTCATTTACTATGAAAATGTATTATTAGTCATTTTACTATAAAAATGTATTGTTGATCATTTTGCTATAAAAATGTATTGCTGGTCATTTACTATGAAAATGTATTATTAGTCATTTTGCTATAAAAATGTATTGTTGATCATTTTGCTATAAAAATGTATTGCTGGTCATTTACTATAAAAATGTATTATTAGTCATTTTGCTCTAAAAATGTATTGTTGGACATTTTACTAAAAATATATTATTAGTCATTTTAATTAAAATCATTGGTCATTTACTATAAAAATGCATTGCTTGCCATTTTGCTATAAAATGTATTAGTCATTTTAATTAAAAATGTATAGCTGAGCATTTACTATAAAAATGTATTATTGGTCATTTTACTATAAAAATATATAGCTGTTCGTTTTGCTATGAAAATATATTATTGGCCATTTCACTATAAATATATCTTATTGGTCATCTTATTATAAAAATGGGTACTATAGCCTTGGATGATAACCGGTCTATGTGAAAGGCTACTCAGAATTCAAAATTGTATGTAGTCCTGGAAAAGTACATGCTGTGCTACTAAGGAAAGGATCGTTCGTATTTGTACCATTTTTAGTTTTCATTATAGTTTATGAAGGAACCTTTGGGAATTAAGCCTGTAAAAATACCCGATTGAAAAATGAGGACAAATAGTGAAATCTTTCTACCAGATCCAAGGATCAATAACGCAAGTTGAAAATGGACGCCACATAAAATATGTAATCTTAGTTAACTAGTGTCAATTTATTACCCATATCTACTCTATATAATAGTAGTTATTACATTTTGCAAGAGGTGACTGGGTGTCAGAGGCTATGTGGGAAATATTATTAAAAAGAAAGAAATATAAAAGAACACTGCACATAAAATTTTAAACATGAAAAGAATAAGGGAAGCAATAAACAATAAGATTCAGCGAGTGCGATAGAAGAACCTCCCAACATAGAACTTACGGTTATATCTAGCTATTTCAGTTGCAAAATGATTAGTCGTTGCCGCTAATTTAGTACTGCGTTTAAATTCATAAAGTCTAGCTCCCATAGCGGAAAACAATATTTATTTTGAATAATTCAAATATGTAGCAAAAAGCCAAAAGGATGGGAAATGGGAAGGCTGCTTTTCAATATGTCTTATTTTAAACTTAGCCAGCCACAATTAATGACCCAAAAATACCACAATATTTCAAAACATGACCTTCTTACTTACCATTCTTATTACAGACACCGTAATACCACAAAGTCTCTATGTAGTCCTAACTAATACCTATATGTACAATTTGTCTGTCGAAATCTCATCAGAACAATTACCATTCATAAAAAAAAGGCAGATGAAAGCTACATTACGGCTGTGGGGAAGTGACTGAAGCCGAGGTATCAGGTCATGACCAATAACATTGCAGATTTTTCTTTGTATTTTATCAAGATTTTCTAAATATATATCAGGAGCACCGGACCAGATGTGGCCGTAATAATCAAAACAAGGACAAATGGTAGACTTATGAATATGTAAGTTAGAGTCTGGTGAGGTAAATGTGTAAGTTATTTTTTGTCTTGGATGGGCGTGTGCCAATCTGTACTTTCAGTTTTCCCCCACGCCCCGGAAAGAAAGAGACAAGCGCCGGAGTGGCGCGAAAGTGTAAACTACTAGACGGGAAGAGACGAATCTCAAGATGACGCAAAGTAAGAAATCTCCTCGTAGATTACATAGAGACATTCACTTTTATTTGTCAGGTTGGAACGCAGTGATTTCTTACTTCATTTCCGGTCAGTTTTTAGACGGTCTTATCTTTCGTGAGACCTTCCTTCCTTTCTCCTTTTATTCGACTTCTTTATTTTCTCATTTCGTTTATTTTTTTTTTTATTTCTCCTTCGCGTTCAATAATTTTTTTTTTAATCTTTTTCTACTAATTTTTTTCATCTCGTTTTATTGTCTCCCTTATGCATACAACTCGTTCTTTTTTATTATCTTACTTTTTTTCCTTTATCAATAAGAATTGTTTTGCTTTTTCGATCATTTTTTTTTTCGGCCATTTTTTTTTTCAATCATCCTTTTTGTATTTTCCATCCAGGTTTGTCTCGTTTTTTTTTTTCCCCGCAAAGTTCTTTGTATTTTTTGTTCGCTTGTCTCCCTCTCCCCCCCCCTCTCTCTCTCTCTCTCTCTCTCCTTTCTTTCTTTCATTCTTTCTTTCTAATTTTCTTCCTTTCTTTCTTTCTTTCTTTATTTTCTATAATACCTCAAATTTTATGTTTTTTAATCTTTTTCTTTCGTTGTTTCTTTTTGTTTCTTTATTTATTTTACTATAAGACCTCAAACTTTTAACTAATCTTCTTTTTTTTTTCTTTCTTCTTCGGACAATTTTTTTCGGTCTTTTTTTTTTCAGTCATTCTTTTTTATTTTCCATCTGGGTTTCTCACGTTTTTTTATTTCTCCGCAAAATTCTTTTGATTTTCGTTTGTTCCTTTGTCTCTCTCTCACTCATTTTTTCTTTCTTTCTTTCTTTCTTTCTTTCTTTCTTTCTTTCTTTCTTTCTTTCTTTCTTCCTTCCTTCCTTCCTTTCTTTCTTCATTTCTTTCTTTCGCATTTTCTTTTTTTCTTTCTCATTTTCTTTCTTTTTTTTAATTCATTTATTTTCTATAATACCTAAAATATTTTTTATCTTTTTTCTTTCGTTCTTTCTTTATTTTTATTACTTTCTTTATTTTCTTTAAAACCTCAAATTTTTAAGTAATCTTTTCTTTTTCATTTTTTTTTTTTTTGTTTATTGCGAAACATTTTTTCGGTTATTTTTTTTTCAATCGTTCTTTTTTCATCCGGGTTTCTCTCGTTTATTTATTTCTCCGTAAAATTCTTTGTTTTTGTTTTTTTTTTTTTTCATTTTTTTCTCCCCCTCCCTCTATTTTTTCTTTTTTTTATGTTTCATTTCATCCCTGTCTTTTTTTTTTCATTTTACTTTAGCCTCAAAACTTTTTTTTTTCATCTTTCTTTCTTTTTTTTCTTTCTCTTCGATAAAATCTCAAAGTTTGTCCAGACTATTTCTTAAAATATGAATTAACTAATTGAAATGTCAGAGAAGAGACAGATGAATAGAAGAAGAAATACTGAAAGAAAGAAAGAATGAAAGAAACAAAGAAAGAAAGAAGGAAAGAAATAATACACAGGAAAATTTAAACAAGAAAGAAAGAAAGAGAGAAGTACAATTACTGAAAGAAAAGGAAGAAAAAAGAAAATAGCTAAGAAAATATGGGCAAAAGAAAGAGCGTACACAAAAAAGTCTGAAAGAAAGAAAGAAAGAAAGAAAGAAAGAAACAAAGAAAGAAAAAAGAAAAAAATGAAATAAATATGACAGGAAAAATTTAAACAAGAAAGAAAGAAAGAAAGAAAGGAAAGAAGAGACTGAAAGAAAAGGAAGAAAAAGAAAAAGGAGGAAGGAAGAAAAGGAAGGAAGGAAAAAAGGAAAGAAGGTACAAGAAAAGTCTGGAAGGAAAGAAGGAAAAGAATGAAAGAAACAAGGAAAGAAAGAAGGAAAGAAAAGGAAGGAAGGAAGGAAGGAAAATTTAAACAAGAAAGAAAGAAAAAGAAAGTACAATTACTGAAAGAAAAAGGAAAGAAAAAAGAAAATAGCTAAGAAAATATGGGCAAAAGAAAAGAAAAAGTACACAAAAAAAGTCTGGAAAGAAAAAAGAAAGAAAGAAAGAAATAAAGAAAGAAAGAAAGAAAGAAAGAAAGAAAGAAAAGAAAGAAAGAAAAAAAGAAAGAAAGAAAAGAAAAAAGTGTAATAAATATGACAAAAGAAAAAAGATATAGGTAAGAAAATCTGGACAAGAGCGACGAAAGAAAGAAAGGAAAGAGAGTAAGTAAGTAAGTGAGGAAGGAAGGAAGGAAGGAAGGAAGGAAGGAAGGAAGGAAGGAAGGATTAGAAAAGTTAAGAAAATATAGACAAAAGAAAACAGAAAATAGCCCAGAAAGTCTAGAAAGAAAGAAAGAAGGAAAGAAAGAAAGAAAGAAAGAAACACTGAAATAATGACATATAAAAAGAATGAAAGAAAAAAGCTAGTAATGAACTAATTCAGAAATAAATAAAAAAGACAAAAAAATAAAACGGAAGAAGAAGAAGAAGAAGACGAGGAAGCGGCAGATAAAAGTCTTTGCGAATGAACAAGTCAGATGAAAAAAAAAGAAAGCTAGAAAATGAAGAAAAGGGGCAAAAACTGAAAGAAAAGATACTGAAGGAAAGAAAGTAAGAAGTAAAAAAAGAAAATAGACAAGAAAATTTAAACAGAAGAAAGAAAGAAAGAAAGAAAGAAAGAAAGAATGAAAGAAAGAAATGAAAGAATGTTTAGAAAGAAAGAAAAAGAAAGAATGGTTAGAAAGAAAGAAAGAAAGAAAGAAAGAAAGAAAGAAAGAAAGAAAGAAAGAAAAAAAGAAAGAAAGAAAGAAAAAAAGAAAGAAAAGAAAGAAAGAAAGAAAAGAAAAAAGAAAAAGAATGGTTAGAAAGAAAGAAAGAAAAAGAAAGAAAAAAAAAAGAAAGGTTAGAAAAAAGAAAAGAAAAGAAAGAAAGAAAAGAAAGAAAGAAAGAAAGAAAAAAAGAAAGAAAAAAAAGAAAGAAAGAAAGAATGGTTAGAAAAGAAAGAAAAGAAAGAAAAAAAGGTTAGAAAGAAAGAAAGAAAGAAAGAAAGAAAGAAAGAAAGAAAGAAAGAAAGAAAGAAAGAAAGAAATGTGTGGATAATGTGGAAGAAAAGATGAAAGAACAAGATTTGAAGAGAAATGAAAGAGAATGAGTTGAAAGAAAATAACGAAGAAAAACAATGAAATACAGAAAAAAAAAGAAAGATAAAGAATATCATTTTTGGATGGAGAAGATATAGAAAAAGAACAAATAAGAAGGGGGGAAAATTAAAAACGGCTTCACATGGAATGCAAAGAAGACAAAAAAAATAGCATCATTCACCATATTGGTATTGGTCGTGGTGGTGGGGAAGTTACAGAGAAATTGGAAAGGTTTGTGTCGACGAAGCTAAAGAAGACCTGTCTTATCAAAAGATTCCGTTATTCCCTTCTTCCTGAAAACCATTCTGCTTTCCTTGACGTTTCGTTCTGGTCTTACTGTCCCATTGATATCCGGGGGAGAATTTTGGTCTAAAACATCGCGTGGCAGATTTTATGGTTTCAGAAAGGCTTTTAGCGACAAAAAAAAAAGTGGTCTTCGACATGCGAACGTCATTGGTAGAAATATTGGCATAGCATTTTAACACTCTTAAAACTTTGTAACAAAACAGACGAATTGAGAGATGGGTTGGCGGGAAGTCTTTGGATGTCATAAATGGTGCCATTTCTTATTCTCTAAGAAGACAAAGAACTATATGAAATGGAAGTCTGTCAGGACCGACAAACAAACTGACGAATTTGTCATAAGCAATTCGGCGATCTCGAAGTTTCTTCTTCAATGTGCTGCCAGGATGTGGTTGATCACAGCTCTCAGATATCCATCGTGGCCCTTAGCAAGCCCCCTCGCCTCCCTTCCGCCATTCATTCACAAAATCTCCTCAATGCCTTCCGCTATCTCACTTGCTCTCGATATGCGCACTGGGTTTTAACTTCTCCAGACCCCCACCTCTATATTGCGTCGAAGAAATTACATGTCTCTTATTTTGAGTGCATGTGTTATTTTTTTTTGCCTATATTTCTGAGATGAAGTATTGTAATTATTTACATTGTTCGGACTGCTGTCGTCATCTTTATTGCCATACACACGACGTTTCGGCCGTAGTATGCTCCGGTCTTCTTCAGGTGATTGAAATTTCGAACTGAACCATTTATTTCGTCCACTGGGGACATTGTTCTAGTTCCACGTGCCATGCCACTTCCGGATGTCTCTGTTCACTATATATATATATATATATATATATATATATATATATATATATATATATATATATATGTGTGTGTGTGTGTGTGTGTGTGTATAAAATGTGTGTGTGTGTGTGTGTGTGTGTATCATCAAACGATTGTAAATCAATTTATCACCTGATGAGATGTTTGATATGCATCCAAACCCCCACCTCAAATTGATTTTGACATTTTTTTCGGTGTTATATCCTAAAATAATATATATATATGTGCGTGTGTGTGTGCGTGTGTGTGTGCGTGTTTGTATCATCAAACGATTGTAATTGTCATCTTTATTGCCATACTCACGACGTTTCGGTCATAGTACGCTCCGGTCTTCTTCAGGTGATTGAAATTTCGAACTGAACCATTTATTTCGTCCGCCGGGGACATTGTTTTAGTCCACGTGCCATGCCACTTCCGGATGTCTCAGTTCACTATATATACTTATATATATATATATATATATATATATATATATATATATATGGTGTGTGTGTGTGTGTGTGTGTGTGTGTGTGTGTGTGTGTGTGTGTGTGTGTATCATCAAACGATTGTAAATCAATTTAAAATCACCTGATGAGATGTTTGATATGCATCCAAACCCGACAACGATTTTGACATTTTTCGGTGTAATATCCTAAATATATATATATATATATATATATATATATATATATATATATATATATATATATATATATATATATATAAATATGTAAATTTTTTTTCATCTTTCATTTCAATCCTTGGAAGTAAAGTCTGATGATCCACAGTCCTTTTTTTAAAAGGACTGTGAAATAATTTATTACACGGAACCTTAAAGTGGTCTGTTTTATTCAAACATATTTGTATATATATATATATATATATATATATATATATATATATATATATATATATATATATATATATATATATATATATATATATATATATATATATATATATATATATATATATATATATATATATATATATATAGAAATATATATATTTGTATATATATATATATATATATATATATATATAATCCATATATTTTCACTCTGTTCTTATCTATTACGGTCGACCACATTTTACCATTCTATCTATCTATCTATCTATCTATCTATCTATCTATCTATCTATCTATCTATCTCAATCTGTTAATTATCTATCTCAATCTATTCATCATCTATGTCAATCTGTTCATCTCTGTATCTCTGTCAATCTCTTTATCTATCCATCAATCTATCTATCTATCTCAGTCTGTTCGATTAGGAGAAATAAGTCTAAAAAGTTTTTGTGTGACGCATTTCCTCATTTAGGAATTCATCAGAGTTAGTTTATGTACGCACTAATGCGGCTAACATCCGCGCAATCGAAAGAGACGCTGAAAATTTATAAATTTTAAATTATTTCTTTTTTTTTTTTTTTAGTTACTCGCCATGACGTGATTTTGGAAAGTAATTAAATTTGCTGGATCATTTACGTTAAATTTACGTCCACGTATTTCTAATGTTTCACCTTTCTTGACGTATCTTCTAAAATCACAAAATGTGGGTTGTTTATTAACAAAAGTGATGGAAACAAAGAAAACAAAAACAAAAAATGAATCTAATTGAAATTGCTTAGAATATATACCCAAACAAATATATTTTTTAAAAAAATGTTCTAAATTAAATTGTGTCGCTCTTTTTTCGTTCCTGAGCTTACGTAGTCACATAGTCAACATAAGCATAAACTTGTCCTGAAGAAGTCCTAGAGGACGAAACCCTTCAGAAGAAAAACTTTTTTTCCTCTTTGTCTTACTTCTTTCTCCTAATTTTTTGAAGTATAT